GCCAAATCATTTTTAGCAAAGACAGTTGACTTCCGGGAAATGCAAGGGTGCAACTGAGGGAGGATGCAACATTATCGATGGAGCAAAGTGAGTGCAAAGTTAAGGACCTGGTGGATTCCGAAGGCAATTGGAATTGGAATTCTTTGATTCAGTTAGTTAACTCGGACACCTGTGCAGTTATTGCAAACATCATGCCCCCTAGGCCCGAGCTAGGGAAGGACTTGGTGGTGTGGGATCTTACGTCTGATGGCAGTTTCTCGGTGAAATCTGCGTATGAGATGCTTTTGAGAGGAGATTCCAACCTGCAGACTTCGGACCCTTCACCTGTGTGGAATTGGAGGGGAGCCAAACGTATTCAAACCCTTCTGTGGATGGCCCTCAATGATTACCTTATGTCAAACGTCAAACGCCAATAGATAAAACCTCTGGACAATGGCCTATGCCCTAGGTGTAATATGGCAAACGAAAATTTCCTTCATATATTCAGAGATTGTCACTGGAGCAAGGAGCTTTGGAACTGCTTTGGTACCCAGACTAGATGGCCAGACTTTTTCCAAATGGGGTGGAGTACCTGGTTCAAGAGTAATATTGGTAATAGTGAGCAAATGCACAACTACATGTGGGGATCCTTATTTGCAATGACTTGCTGGTGCATTTGGAAAGCTCGCAACAACCTCGTCTTCGATCACAATGTCATTTCTCCTCAATCATCTATCAGAAGAGCTAAGGCTTTTGTATCCCAATATAATGGAGCTCAGTCGATTCTGGGACAGCATGGCCTGCATTCTCGGTGCAAGGTTGAACACTACATTAGCTGGAAGTTTCCTGATGAGGGATGGTACAAGGTCAACGTAGATGGGTCTTGGAGGGACGGTGATAGCTTTTCCAGCTGCGGAGGATTGATCAGAGGTGCTTCTGGTCATTGGGTGAGAGGTTTTGGTAGGAACCTAGGTATAAGGTCATCCACTAGAGCAGAGATGTGGGGTTTACTCCATGGTATCCAGTTGGCATGGAGCCTGGGATTAAGGAGGGTTTGTTTTGAGGGAGACTCCCAAAATGCATTATCCCTTATATCTAAAGGTTATGATAGGACGCACCTTCTGGCTCCTCTGGTTAACGATATTAGGGAACTCTTGAGCAGACAATGGGAGACCAATATTAGCCACACCTGGAGAGAAGGGAATATGGTGGCAAACAAACTAGCTTTTTTAGGTCATTCTTATTTGGATTGGAACTTGCATGTGGTACATGATATTTCCATCGGAGTGTATTGCCTTGATTGATAGGGACATGAGGGGCATTGTTAGCCTCAGGTTTTCTTCCTTACTGTAACCGTTTTTATTTCCATTATTATCCAAAAAAAAAACTTCATAGTTGCCATTGTGACCGGAGCAATTGTTGCTATTGTCACCGTCATCACTGTCGTCGAAGCTTCATCAAATTTCAAAACTTACTCACAAAACAAAGTTCGTCAAATCAATAAGTATTTTGATATTTTTATTTTATACTGAAAAACAGTTAAAAAAAACAAAAACAAAAACATAATCAGGCATTGTTTGGCCATTATTATTATTACTATTTCTGGATAGACTAGACCAAGCCAAATTTTAGTCTAAATAAATTAGTCTTCATGTAAAATCTTTTATGTCTGACTTGATTTGTTAGTATGATACAAATTAAATTATAAGTTTGGTTTAATTTATTTTTAAAAAATACAATGTTTGACATGGCCTATCAAGCCTATAGACCTTGAAAAATAGTATATTGCACTTTGTAAATATAAGTTAGAAATATTTTGATTCTTTAGTATATTTAAGTTAATGAAAAATCAAAATAATACAATAATTGAAACCATATCATAACCATAACTATTATTTTATTAAAAATCAATAAGATTATATTTTATTAAAAATAATAAAATATTATTTATTAAAAATTATAGATCGGTCTTGGAGGCATAGAAGTTATACCTTATGTTAGGTCCTGGAGAACCGTATAAGGATGTACGCTCACAGATATCACTGAAGGATAACTTATTGGCTTGTAGCCAACGTACTAATCACTGCGTACTAATAATAGGCTTATAGGAAAGGGAGTGTTCTATGGTGGCAGCTTGGGGTGAAACTGAGCTAGGCCGGCCTATAGGGGCCTACGGCTCGGCCTACATCAGGCCAGATCTGACCTAGTATATTTTATAAAATAGGCCGGACTTGAACCTTGAAAAAAACTTGTTTAATAAAAAGGTCGTAGGCCCACTTTCATAAGGCTTGACCTATAAGCCTACAGATCGGCCTATATTATACTATTTATTTTAAATAAAATAAAAATAAATAAGTATGCCTTGAAGAAAAAACAAAATATATAAATTTAATCAATTACAATTATTTATAACTTAATTATATTCGATTATATTTTAATAGAAAATTGACTTTATTTCTTATGTAGGGGAAACCAACATCTCAACATGCTAGATTGTGTACATAAATATATTAAAAGAATTTTGGGAGAGATTATACTTACTCCAAACATCATTATGTGTTTGTTGGATTCATGTAATTATTTTAAATTACATAGTATGGATTTGTTTGTTGGATCTGATGAAATATATGTTATTTAGTTTGAGCATTTTGCTTTTGAAAGTGAGTTAAATACAGATTGTATGAGTTTTGTTGTGATTCATGATTCTGTTTGGACGTTGAAATTATGATTTTTGGTTTAGCAACAGAATTTGAGTATTTTATAAAATTGATTCATGATTTTGCTTGAAAGTTACAAATTAACAAGCTAATGGGCTAGGTCAGGCCATTTGTTTTTTTATAAACGGGCCAAGCCAGTCTAACAGTTAGACTTGTACTAGGCTTGAGCCAGGTCAAATTGAAAATTTTTGGCGTAGGCTTGAGCTTTTTGGAGCAAAGCTTGGCCCAGCCCAGCCCACTTTTACCCCTAGTGGCAGCAATCACAATTAGGTTAAAAAAGTGTTACTTGGGATATTCAACCTCTTATTTACAGGGATTACCTCTCTGGACTTAGGCCCATGTGATCTCCTAGTTGATGTAGGAATTTGCCTCTTATTGATAGAGATAATGATCTTATCCCTTGATTCGTAGTATATTATACTGTTGAGATATGAATGAGATATATCATAATCCCTTATTGGATATGCAATTAAGATATGGATCAAGTTCAAAAGAGTTGCCTCCGGCCCGGCAGTTCGGAAGCTCGGACTGCGGGGGTGCTTAAGTTCGCTTTATGAGTCGGCCCTGCCGAGATACCTTAAGCCTGCCTTGGCTCTGGTGCAGCTATCATTCTATTCAGCTCCGATAACTACTCATAGGTGTTTTTTTTCTTTTATCTGGGTTATATCCCTGCCGAGGTGAAAGTTCCGAGCCGTGTGCTGAGGTTCGTTGTTATGTTTAATTGTTGATCATACTTACGACCGATCTTATTTTTGTCTTCATCTCAGACCTCAATTTACGGATTTTCTTTACTCAGCTTCCTCGTCTGGATGCCAAGACTGGCATAAATGCCTTCCACTGGCATCTGTCTTGTCAACGCGACTCTCCGGCTTCACCCGTTTCTTGACGGTTACACTTTTCCACGTGTTACTTATGCGTCTTGGAGCGCGAGCTGCCCTGGCTTTTCGCAGATGATGATAGCATGCATTTAATGCTTGTCATATGCAATTACCTTTTTACCCTCGCCCTTCCAGCTCTTTGTTGGCCTTTCATTTTCCCGCTCAACAGTTGCGCTTATACACACACACACACACACACACACACACACACACATTTTCGCTTCAATTCTCCCATTTCTTTCATTTTCAACCTTATAGAGACTTCACATTTTGTTGGCTTCCTCACTTTGCTTGGAGTTTTGTTCAGGAGTTATCGCAGAGTTAACCTTCTTCTCATCCCCCAAACAGGTACATTTCAAACACTTGCTCTTGTGCATTTCGTTGTTTCTCTTTGCGTTGTGAGCATTTAGCGTTTGGAACTTTGTGGCTTGAGTTCCATACTCTGTGATAGTTTGAATTGAGTGTGAGGGTGATTGCAGGGGTTTTCTTTATACTCTGTTGGAGATCCCCTATTTCTTTGTACTCTGTTGGAAATTCCCTCTCGTTCGCTTAAATCAAAGCCTTGTGGGATTTTCTTTCCCTCTTCTGGCATTTTCGTGAGTTAAGATGAGTGTCTCTGGGCAGGGGCCTGGTTCTAATCTAGATCGAGGCAGGGATGAGGACGAGGCCTGAAAAGAGCAAGAGCTGATCAATAGTATGCCAAAGTCGGTTCGTTTTTGGTTTTATGGTGAGGGGTACACTAAGGAGGTGAGGAGATAAGTTACAACTGCTTCTTTGTGGCCACCGAGGTGGAAGAAGTAGGCAAAGATCGATGCCTTCTGAGCGGGGACAGGGACGTGCTGCGTCCGCTTATAATCATCCTGGAGAGGTTCAAAGTCGGTCACCACTTTCTTTGATGCCGACCTTAGCGACATGTATAAAAGATAATATTATAAGAGATAAAATTATCTTTTACATATACATAAAAATATGGAAAAAAATGTTTATCCTTTTAAATGACACAACTTATATCCTTTCACTCTCATAAAGAGGTGTGACCCACACCTTTATTTTTTTTGTCAATTCTCTCTCCTCCTTTATCTATCTCTTTCTCTCTCTCAAAATGACACAACTTTACATTCTTTAAAATGACACATTTTTTCCTAAAAATATATACGACCTTATTTTTCTTTTTCTCTCGTAAAACCCAATTACAAATAATCTCAAAGGATTTTATTTTTCTCATGTTGCATAAGATAAATTGTCTCATACAAAAAAAATAAAAATATATAAGACCCGCTAAAAACAAAAAAATGAATCTCACCTAATTTAGTATTTGTCTCGTAAGAAAAATAAAACCTAATCTCAAAACATCAAACCCATAAAATAATTACGCGGTTACGCCCGCAACTTCGTGTAGTTTCGAATCGAAAGCCCAAAACCAAAGGCAAGGGTGTCATATCTCTCCCGCCCTCACTCACCAGCCAGTGAGTCACGACCAGTGATGGAACCCTAATGGACGACACTAAAAAATTATACGACTCACTCTCCAACGCTGCAACCGATCCACATCCAAATCTCAAAGACCCTCACACTCTATGCGAAACCCTCTTCGACCAACTCCACTCCACCTTCCACCGATTTTTCTCTGCTTTGCCTCTCCTCCACAATGACGCTGAGATTGGGTCTCTTCCGCTTTCGGATTCACGGCTTTGGGCAATTGTTGAAGACCTTACTCTCATTCTTCGCTGCTATCTGGTTCTTTTGACCTTCCTCCACTCCGACCTCGGATTCCTGCTCCACAACTGCCGCCGTGTTCTTCGCGTCTTGAAGCCCTTCCTTTCTGTCGATGTGAACCAGCGCCATGGCTCAACCGTCTTGCGCTTTCGTAACTTTCTATCTGATGTTGATATTGAACTTTCTGATCGTTGCCGTCCATTTCTATGTGCTGTGCTAGAGGTAGGTTTAGTATTTTTTATTTTTTTGTTTTTGTTGTGATAATGTAATGGTTATATGTTATGCTTTTTAGCTATATGCTCTAATTACTTGCTTAAATTTATTGTTTATGATATTTGGTATATAATTAGGATTTATTTGTTTATTTATTTTCGGGTGGAACTTTGGTTTGAGCTGTCTAAGTAAGGATGGTTTAAATTGTCTTTTAATTAAGTTGTCTATTTAGGTTTTAAATCTAGAATTGTAGGATTTATGATATTATTATTGTTGTGGATTTAGCGTATACTGTACATCAACAATTGCAATACCTAAGCTTTCTTTCTCGAGGTTGAGTTCGCTACATGGATCAAGCAATGCCATTAGACTGTATTAAAAGAGGCTATTTAGAGTAAAGTGTTTTTCAGTGGTTTCTCTTAAAAGTTTTTTAAGGTTTTCCTCTAACTATTTTAATCCGAGTATTTTCTAGTTGGTTCGTTTTTCTCACTGACATGACCATATCAGCTTAGAGCCCTGGACAACTTTCGTTCATCTTCTCTCAGATACAATGCAATTGTTTCTAATCTTATATTTTCTTGTATGCCCGTTCCACCTCAGCATTCTTATCTCCTTTACACTTATTTTTGTTCTCTTGTTGCCAATTTGCTGCCCAACTTCCTTAGACAGATGCGATGTGGCAATAATATTCTGCTTTAAATTTGATGGTAAAATAAATTGGAGAGAACTCGGGAAATAAAAAATGTTGAAGTTAGTTTTGTTTCATTAGCTCATTTGAGGTCTTAGTTTCAATTTGCATAGACCATACACCTATGTGATAGCAGTATTAATAATTGTTACTGCTTACCAAAAAACATTTATGCGTATGTAGTCTTCTGATGTATTTCCTATTGTGTATAGTTTTACGCATTTCGTACATCAACTATGTAGAAATTTGTATAGGTTTCTCACTGGAGTTTCATCCATCTAAATTTGAAAATGTTATCTCAGGTATTTGCTGATGAACTTTTAAGACATAAATATTTGAGAAGATATCTTATGATCACTGATTCAAAGTCATCCATATGTGAAAAGCTTTTCGCGTGCCATTTCAACCGTGGTGATATTGCCAGTGTCCTGGAGGTGATATCAGCCCATTTTATCCTGTCGGTTTCTAATGAGAAAGCATTTGAGAATTTCATCAGTAGATTGTTTTTGCATTGTGACAAGGATTCTAGATTTCCTGGACTTGGCCTTGCACCTGCAATAGTGTTGCTGCTTGACCCTGTTGTGCTTTCTGCACCAAAGATGTTACAGGCACACATAATTGCATTGGTTTCTGAAGCCATTGGTTCTGGCCTATCTTCAGAGAGTTTGGCTCAAGATATGCACAGCCACCTAATAGCATTTGAAAAATCTGTCGTCTTGTATTCTATGTATGCGTCTAGTTTGCAAATGGATGGTTTTTACGCTGAATTGAAATGTGCATATAATTCACAGCTGCTCGAGAGAGGTCAGCCAACTTTTGAATCTTATATCCAGCAAGTCACAAGTAACAGACTAAATCAAGTCTTATCAAAATCAGATAATTCATGGGATTCTTCTCGATGCAAAATATCGTCGAAAACAAAAGCCGACCTTTTGGCTGAGTACATTGCATTTAAGAAGGGTGGCCAATACATATTTGCTGATTTGTGTAGGGACATGACTGCCTCAGTCTTAGATTGCATAATCCATCGAACTCTCCCTCAGGATGCTGGTGTAGATGTATTATATATAAATGAAAATACTAGTGCTCAAGATATTTATCTTCTTGCATCCATATTGAAGTTAATGAGTGTTTCATTGCTACAAGCAATTAAATGTCTAAGAAACAGTGGTGATTTGGGTTGTCTAAAAACCATGGGTAGTATCTCTGTGCACGAGAAATATGATTTCTTGATCAGCATAATTAACCATTTTCATCAAATTAAATTCTGTTTACCCATTCAGACTTTCTTGTATGATGTGATGAAAAGTCAGCAAAAAAATTACGAAGTCTCCAAGTCAATGCTTGTGCACTTTTCAGGCTTGCTATCTTTAAGTTTTAGCAGCGGACTTGATTTGTTAGCAAAGGGGTGTATATCGGTTATTATGGCGCTGATGCATCTCTTTGTTTCTGAAGAGGGAGATTTAGTTGTTTTAGAGTCATTGTGGGATCTACCATTGCTGTCTGGCTCATCTGAACTTCCATCTGATAAGACTGGAGAGGTGAAGTGCGCTTTCAGTTCTCATGAACTTCTTGAGTTAAATTTAGTTTGTATTTCATGCCTAAATCATTGGTCAATGCCACAGGGGGCTGGATATAAACAGGCTATCTATAAAGTTGCAGCAGAGTTTCATAGAGTTCGAACACGAAATTTAAGGTACATATATTTTCTAATTCTTTTTGACCTTTATATAATGTTGTCTTTAAGTATGGTACATATTTTCAATTTATCTATTTACAAACACCCTTTCCCAGCCACTTGGGCTTGCTCAAGTGGTAAGGGAATACTGGGGTTTGAGTTGCGGTCATAGGTTCAATCCATTGTTAAGCCCATGAAAATGCCATTCTCTAGGCTACCTAGTTTGAGGTCCCCTATTTTTGCGGTAAGTTGCTTGTTTTAAGGTTTTGTAGTCTTGTTCATGTAGGTATGGCATCTTTAGATATAAGAAGGATTACCCCTTTATTAGACTGAATTATATTATATTGGCATATCTTGGAAATTGGGGTATGATAAAATCAAAGTTATCAAATGCGGATTGTGGCATGTCACGGCAACCTCGAAAAATGCTATAGCGCCTATGTTGCACCGGACATGACACGCCGATACGTTAATTCTAAATATGTCATATTTCGACACGTTGGGATACGTTTTGATATTAAATAATATTTTTAATATATATAATATAATTTATATTTAGTACATATAACAACCCATATTAAGTCATATAACCAATTAAATATTCAAATTTTATAACATAAATATAAACAAAAATAATTTTTCGTATCTTGTTAATTTTTCATGTCAAATTTCGTAACATAAAAAAATTGATTTATAAATTATTTTTTTATATTTAGTTAATAAAATAAAATTTAGTTCTTAAAAAAAAAAAATGTGTCGGATGCATGTCGGAGCGTTGTCCGCGTGTCGAAAAAACGTGTCGGAACATTGACCACGTGTCTACACCGACACACATTATTTTTTTAAAAGTGGCATGTCCGTGCATTGGAGTATAGCGGTGGTTTTATGTTAGTACCATTGTAAATTTGGAATGAGGCAACCTCCCCTCCCCTAAACTCTTTTCTATCCGGAAAAAAGAAAAAGATTATGCTATCAATCAAATATATTATAAACCTTGCTGAAAGGAAGTAGCAAGTAACTTTTCTTAAAACCTATGATGAAGTAGACTATAGTTTTGTGTAAATAAAAAGCGTCCTGGATTTGGTCAGTGTTCCATTTTAATACATTTACATGTATGCTTTCTTGAGGTCTGAAAAATTTTCCTTATTTTTTTCAGAACGGATTCCATCACCTCCTATAACTTGGAGGATAAAACAGAAGAAACCTGCAATGGGGAAATTTTCCTTAACTGCATATTAGAAGGCTCCAAAGATTTACCTGATTATGCTGAACTTGCAGACTTCATTGAGTGTGAGAAAGGGAAAAATTATTCCAATTGGTTGACGGGGCGCCAAAAAAATAGAAAATGGAGATACGAGAAAATGATAGAGTTAAGGAAGATTAAGAAAGAAACAATCTGGAAGTCTTTGAGGCATCAGAAAATTGATAAGTCTTTGAAGCGTCAAAAAGTTGGTAAGATTTTGAAGCGTTGCAGATTTTCATGATCTGTGCCTAATGTGGATATAAATGTAATGAATTGCCAACTTTATTTTTTGTGCTCCCCACTCGTGTTAATATAATTGATCTGATTCATGATCTGTCCCCAATGTATCGACAGAAGTTAATGAATTACCAACTTTATATTTTGGGTTACGCTCTCTTGGGTTAATTTTAGTTCAAAAAGTTATACTTAAATTTGCTTGGTGGATTCGGTGATAAGCAAGCATATTTTCCTTTCCTTTTGTTTTGTTTTGTTTTATATAACAAAAGCCTGAGCACATTTAACAGCTATTTGACCATTTGGGGGTGTTATCATGTATATCTTGCATGTTTGGTACGTCACCAAAATTATTTTTCAGTGAGGGGTGTTTAGTTTTGTGGATCGGCCCTTGCAGAACTGCTTTATATTTTTTTTTAATTTTTTATTGGATTTCGCAGACTCTCCCTGTGGAACTCAGGTCGTGCAGAGTTGCATGATCCCAACCATGCAAGCCATTAATTATTAAAATAACGTTAACTAGTTCCGGGTTTGCGAAACTCTGTTAAAAATTAAATAAAATATGAATGTAGTTCGGCGGGTTCTGTCCGTCGAACTAAACACTCCCCACTGAGAAATAACTTTGGTAAAAATATCATTCAGCACCCAAAATAGTCAAAAAAGCCCACATTTACCACACTATTCTTCCACTGGATATGAGGGTGAATGATGGAAGAGCTTCCATTTTTACTTAGTTTTGCTTGTAAATTGGAGAAAGTTGCATAGATTTCAAATTACCAGCTCCCCATATTAAATATACATTATTATTAAATATACTATTTATTAATTACAGATTCTCTTTATAGGAGAATAGAAATAAATTATGTTATAAACATTTTTTTTACCCATAAACTCATCCTAAGCATATAAATAAATTAAAATTACTTCTCTCCAGGCACACTTTCAGAGAAGGGTGCTAAAAAAATGGAATTTTAAAAAGAAATTCTATAGATGAAATCTGTGGGCATTGATTGGTAGCGAAGTCGGAAGATGCTGGGAGAGGCTGAAACGGGTGCGTGAGCTGCCGGTGAGTTAGATTTAACCCTTTCAACACGGGCCAGTTTAACAATGGTCCATCACTAGATTACCTACGTTAACTTGTCATGTCATTATCTATCAATAAGTAAAGATATTTAATTAATAATATAATAAACAATTTTTTTTCATTTTAAATTTCGTAATTAATTTAATTTTGATCTGAAAATAATAAAATAATTTTAAAAAATTGGAATTATAATTTGATTCTAATAAATAAGACAAATACTAATGATTATAACTTTCTTAGAAATCTTAAGGATAAAAAATAATAAATATAATTTCTATTTATTAATCTTAATATTTTGATTTATAATTCATTAGTCCCAAAATTTTATATTATTTTTTGGGTGTAAAAACACCTCATCGTCTCTCTCTGCTTAAATCAAAATAAAGTATTATACACATGCCTCGAGCCCGCGACAATATCCAACAATAAAGGAACTATTTATAAAGAGATTATAAGGATAAAATATTATAAATATAAATATAACCTTAATATTTTCATTTAGTGCTTGGTAGTCTCAAAATTATAAAAGCACCCTCGTTGTCTCTCTCCCAATTTCTCCCTTTCGTGTGTTCAACTTCAAAATCAAAATTACCATTCCAAAACTACAAAACTACAATATCAAAGACCGTCTAAGAAAAAGAAAAGAAAATTTATTAACACATTAGAGCCCTTCACTTTCTCTTGTAGAATTTCTTAGCACAGTAGGTTGAGCTGCATTATTCACTCTTCAAGCCCAATAGACTCTTGTGTGAGGGGGCGTGTTGAGGTATAATATAGTCCAACATTGGTTGTATGAACAACTAACGTGGAGTTTATAAGACTTTAAACACTTTTACCCTTTGAGCTAGCTTGTAGGTAGTATATCACAGAGTTATTTACAAATTTTACAAGCGTATCTTTAGTATATCGGTGGCATACAACTGGGTGCGATTTTTTGATTTTACACTGTATTAGTACACAGTGTAAAACAAAAAAGTTATGTTTTTTTTCTTCAGTATACGAATAGGTGACATGGTATGCTGTTGTTGATTTGCTATAGATACATCGGTAGTACGCTAATTTGTTCCTAAGAAAGGTTCAACCGTGCGTGTGTTGTTCTCCACTGGATCACCTATCGAGCCTAGTCAATAGCGGCCAACACGAGCGCAATCAAGCGTGCAGATCTTAAGCTAGGGTGTTGCAATTGGCGAGGCTGTTGAGGTAGGCAATGTAGACTATGAGACGCCCGAATCGTATTCCAATTAACATTGGGCAGATAAGGTTCTACTGTTCTGGATTTAGATGCACGCACGCCCTTCCCAACAATACCCAGATTCAGATACATCCCTGAAGAAGTGTATCGTAAAGGTCATTGGAATGCCATTGGTGAAGTAGAGTCAAAGTCCTTTGATGGCAATAATATAATATTGATGCTAGTATGAATAAATATTGTCAATATCAATTAGCTTAGGGTAAAAATGATGTAGATATTCAATTTTACTCCTTAACTAGCTGAATAGACAGCGGGTAAAATAATCTTATACCATTTTCGTAGTTCATGTACTGAGATCCACCTTATACGCCTTCGTGCTCGAATCATTAGAAGAATTGAACTAAACGTTTTGAAATTAAAAAATGAAAATCTTTAATTTTCTTAAATTACATATTGTCAAAAAATATAACAGTACAATACTTTATTTTATATACTCGTGAACAAATATTTTAAAATCTGATTTCATGAAATGCATATTTGAAAATACTTTAATGTTGAGAAATTATTATTTAGTTTGATTTTTGCTTTATTTTCATAAAGCTTTTGATTAAGAAATTTAGAATCTTGAAAATGAGTTAATCTAACCTCATGCAAAATGACAAAAAGAACATAGGAAATTTGATGAAATTAAGTAAACTGAGGAAGGAAAGCTATTTGGAGGCTTTGGCCTTGTGAGTCACACTCACTCCATTTCCATGGCACCGTCATCTCCTCCGTCCACCGACAATTCCGACGCCGAGCACCGACTTCGCGAAGCGGAGGAGCGCCTTCGTGACGCCATAGAGGAGCTCCAGCGCCGGCAACGCCGTGCCGCTGCTCACGCCCACCACCAACAACACCTCGATTCCCCTCCCTGCGATCACGGCCCCGATGAGTCCTGCCTCGCCCACGCCATTGGTAACCTCTGCCAGACCTTCCTCCTCTCCTATGGCGTCAGGGTTGGCATTGGGATCCTCCTCCGCGCCTTCAAGCTTGTTCGGAGACAGTCCTACTCCTCTCTCCTTGATCTTAAGGTTAGTGAGGGATCAATGGTAAAATTGAAATGAAATTAGGTTTCAACTGTTCCAATTTTTAATGTCTATTAACAGCATCGATTCTTCTTTTTTTGTTTGTTTTTTTCACTGCATTGACTCTTTGCTTCAATCGAATCTTGCCTATGTTAGATTTGGTGTTTGTATATTTAACAGAAGATTGTCTACTTTTGGGAACCACAACATTTTTCTCCTAAAATTCAGTTGACATTTTTTCTTTGTCGGAGTCAGTTTTGATCGAAATAAACAGAAGATAATAGAAATCGATTTTCTGGAATAACTGAATGTGGTTTTTGAAATAATTGCGTTTTCAAATTTCTTTCTATTCAAATTGATCCAGCAGGATATTAGTCAGTTCTTTTGTAGCTGATTGCCTAATATTATTGGGGGGAATGGTGGAAGCTTTGTGACTTTCATTTGTTGTTAGGTAATATGTTTGTTGCATGAAAGTATTGTCCATTGCATATTTAACTTTTTTCCTTTAATAAAAAATAGAGAATATATGATGATATATATTTTGTTTTCAGCAACTTGTGTCTGAAAAAGATCTGATAGTAAGAGAAGAAGCATGCCGTATTGGTTTACTCTTTGGTGGTTTCACTGGATCTTATCATGGTCTTAGATGTTTGCTGCGAAAGTTGAGAAAGAAAGAGTCACCACTGAATGCGTAAGTCACAACACAAACCACTTTCTTGATTTATTTTTATAGCTTCTCAATTAATCTATTTTGCGATTTTGTTCTGCTGTACATACAATGTTTGGATATTGTTTTATGCTGTTGACGTTTACTTTGCACACAAAGCTTATTTATGACTTTGTTTAAGTGGATGATGGAGCAGAATTTTAGCAGGTTCAGTTGCTGGTTTCTCAATTCTAGCGTTAAATGATAAAAATAGGAGGCGTACACTGGCTTTATATCTATTGGCTAGGCTAGCCCAGGTATTTGAAAGCGTATAAAATAATTTCTGAGCAATCTGACTTACATGGTTGTATTTAATGCATTTTATTCTCTCGAAAATGATCTGCATCCACCAGGCTAATACATATTCTTGTATATCAGTGTGCTTATAATTCTGCAAAATCTAATAACAAGTTTCACCTTTGGGGAAGTCATTGGAGACATGGAGATTCTTTACTGTTTTCATTAGCTTGTGCTCAGGTATTCAAATCTCATTCTGACTTTTCATGCTGGAATTTTATTCTTAATTTGTCACCCTTTTTATCTTTATGTGGGTCTGATAATTGATATCAGTAGAACAGCCATAAAACTAGTGGGATGTATTTTTATGAATTGCAATAATGCTATTCGGTACAAAAGCTTTTGTGAGAAAAAAAAGTAAGGTTTGAAAAGTAAATGACTAATTGACAAAACGCAACAATTTTTTTTCTCTCTCTCTCTTTTGTTTGAAAACCATATTTTAAATGATGCGGGGGAGATATGTCAGTATGTTTGTGTTTGTGTTTATTTTTTTATTTTTTATTTTTTTGAGATATTCTGACCTATACTCTTACAAACGACAATATATTTTTCTAGTATGCGGGGACTTCTCAAAATGCTAAACCTTGTAGCAAGACATGAGCTTTTGTGACTTCATGATGCACATTTGAGTGCAAATGCAAACCTAAACATAGAAGTTGACGTAACAGGAGATATGTTGATCTAAATGGGTAGTGAATTAGGGCAGTAAAGTTTCAAAAGAAGGAAAAAAATAATTGTATCAGAGATGAGAATGTTGAGGTGGATGATTGGACATGCATGTAGAGATAAGATTAGGAATG